AGAGACAGTGCGATTGGCACAGGACAGAGCGGAGTTTAGGGCTGTTGTACATAGGGTCGCTATGAGTCGCAGGCGACTCAACGGCACATAACAACAACACTGAGTTGAGAATGACCCAGTGACCCTATGAACAACAGATCCTGTGCCATCCACACAATATGACATTCTTGAGCCCATTGCTATAGTCACTGTGCCAATCCACTTGGTTGAGGGACCTTCTCCTTTGCTATTCCTCTACCTTTCCAAGCATGATTCCCCTTTCCAAAGCACAGTAATAGAAAATAGTTACTTGGCCAGTGGCTCCTAACTCTAGATACTTACGGTGATCAAATTAATGCACACAAAAGAGGACCTGTTTAACAAGTACCAATGTAGCTGCAGGACACTCTGTTTTTCTATAATTTCCACTGGGAATGGAAATCAAGATTTAATTACACAGATCCATCAAGATTACGTACTATTCTGACTAGGGACACAACAAAAGATCCCACGTAGAATGGAAGAAAAGTATAGAACAAAACACAAATTGCTTAAAAAAACCCTATCTAGGAGACCAATAGAGAGATTAGAACAATTCTTAAACAATTACCTTAAGATAGATTCTCTTTGAAGCTGTTTCTGGAGGGCATCTCTGAGCCAAATAATAGACTGGCTTACAATAACTAATATTTTATAATGTACTCCTTTAAACAACTGTGAGGCCAAATAGTTATTATTTACCCAAAAGCAAAGAGAAAGGGAGAAGGAATCTAGATCAACACTGAAAAAGAACAAATCAGGACTGAAGTAACAAAGATGCTGACACATTGTAAATACTGTAAACATATGGCACTGAATAATCAGTATTAAAGGTTACCAAAGGAAAATCATTCTGGGCAAACTTTCACCTATCCTATCCTGTTATTATGTTTAAGTTATTTAAACATAATTTTAAAATATTAATCACTATTGCCTTCACTCACTCTTGGATAATATTATGCTGTTCTTAGATGCTGTCGAATCAACTTTGACTCATAGTTGAGGCATCCCTGGATCTGAACCTTGCCCTACTCTGTGCCATCTTCATCTCTGCTATACTTGAGCCCCCTGTTACAGTCAATATGTCAATCCATCTTGTTTAGGGTCTTTCGCTCCACCTTCCCAAGCATGATGTCATCTTCCAAGGACTGGCCTCTCTGAACATGACCAAAACATGTTGAGAAGAGTAATATTAGAGCACATATAATTTCTCTATCTTAAGGACACAGGAACACCGATTTGGCAAGTGTGATAAAACATCACTAGGTGCCAACAGCAAGGAAGGAGAAAAATTAGTTTGTTGCCTGGGGGAAAAAAAACCCCACATCTTTTGAGTAAAACCTTGATGTTGGCAGGTGGGGGTAAGGAATCAATGGGAGGTAAGGTGACAGAGATTCCAAGTTAAAGAATTAGAATACATAAAACAAATTATTAAATATTTAATTTTATACTATTTAATATTTTCCCAGTGAGCTCTGCTGATCTGCTGTTTGCCATTGAGTTGGAACAGACTCACAGCTGACCTTCCAGTATGTTTTCAAGGCAATTAATAACACAGGAGGAGACTGCCCATTCTTCTCCCATGGAGTAGCCAGTAGATTTGAAACACATGCCTTCAGGACTTACATAGCTTCTTACCTCCAGGCCAGGTGTGGGAGGTGATAAAAATATGTGAAGGCACGTCACAGCTGACCCTTCAACAGGGTTTTAAAGACAGTAAATCACACCGAAAGTGAAAGCCCATCTTTCTTCTGGGGAGCAGCTGGTGGATTTGAACAGCCTTTGGGTTGTCAACACACTCCTTACCACTAAGCCACCAGGTCTCCTTACTGCTCTCCCATTTGGCTCTACATAGGTCTCTATGGTTCTGGTGTCCTAGTGTTAAGAAATTCCAGTTTGAATGTGCCAGCTGCTTCATTGGAGAAAGATGGGCAATCTCTTCTCCAGCAATTACATGCCTCTGAAAACCCACTGGAGGAACAGCTGAGTTGGTTCTGACTCAAAGGTACATAATATAACAATCTTTTTCCAAACTCTTGAAAACATTGTACAGCACATATTTACATCAGTGTTTTACAGAGCAAGAACAAATCTACTACAACACTAAGGAGTAAAAAGGTGTTTCTAACTGTTAAAATCATCAAATGTGAACAATTATTTTAAAAGAAGTTAGCAAAAAATGTTATGAAATTATCACAAACATATAAATAAATTTCAAAAAATTTCAGATACTCATTCTTATGAAACACAGATGATTAATTCTATACTGGAAATGCTTAGCTATAGAATCAAATGCAAAGGAATCTTTCACTTTCACTTCTGAAATGAAAGGGGTGAGGGAAAGGCAAAAAAAGAATCCTTAATTCTTCCTAACTGGTACTCCTTATATATGTGCAAAGGGATGTAAAACAAAACCATCACCAGGTTGATTCTGACTCAAAGTGATCCTATAGGGCAGAGCAGAAATGACCCACTGGGATTATCAAAGCAATAAATCTTCACAGAAACTACCTAACTTTTCCCTGTATAGCTGGCAGTAGGTCTAGCCATCAACCTTTCAATTAGCAGCTGACTTTTAATTACTCTACCACCAAGGCTCCTTACAAAGGGATAAGGACTTTATCAAAGGCAACTTCCTTGATTCCAAACATGCAGAAGACTGCTCTTTTGGGCCTTCAAGGTAGAGGATGCTTCTATCCTCTAAGCCAATTAAAATCAGACACGAGAGCAGAGACTCACCCAACTGTTGGGATAATTTGGTGCATGATGGGATATGCAGTTTTCAGGGAAGTACATCAATTTAAAGTAGGAAAACACACCTTCAGCTGAAGAAAATACAAACCTGCTTCCAACTAACAGTTCTCCAGCAACTCACTTCAGGCTAACCTTTGCCACTTTTCAGTTGCTACAATTCCTAAAGGCATTTTCATTACAGAAGCACTTCCTAGCCCTCAAAAAAAGTTAACAGTATGGTTATAGAATTAAGAAATTGTGTTTAAGAAAATTACATGAGTTCCACAGAAGTATAAAAAAAATTTAAATCTGTAATCTGTACTGCTAATACTTGAATACCTTGCACAAAATCTAAAAGAATTTGAAAACAAAATTTGTTGCTTCCAGCACATCCTTCAGATTCAGATAGTCTTCACTACAGGGATTCCATTGTATTTCTCAAATCAGCTGAACCCCTGAGGAATCGGAGGCAAGCCAGAAGCAAGTCAAAGTTATATATTAATGATTTGGGGTTGAAAGGGAACCAAAAGTTCAGTCTGGTTAACTCTTTCAGAGTCCTATTTGTACTATTCTCCCTCCCAGGACGGATACTTTAAGTTCTTCTAAGAAATTTACATACTTTTCAATCAAGTTACGCTGAAGTGGATTATTTCTCCATTTGAAGCTACTTTCTCATTGTAGCCTTTCTGGTATTTTTCAGATATCCTCAAAGTGACCATTTAGGCAGATCCAGCTACTCACTCTCGTTCAACTACTCTTTGTCTCTGCTGGTAATGAGAAATAAGCGTGTAACAGTGGATATCACGAGATGGACAAAATAGTTGTCTGCTTTAGAAAAACACAAGACCATTCTCTAGCCACTGAGTAACCTTGGCGTGGGGCAATAAGAAAGAAAATACCGTGGGGGCCCGGGGTTCAGCTCTACGATAAATGTTCTCTTCGATTTTAAGGCCTCAGGATGCCTTTTTGGAGCAGTGGAGACGGTTAACCCTGACTCAGCCAGTAACTGTAAAGACACATATCGCAAGGGGGGGGGGGGGAATGGTTAAACCCTCTGCAAATAGGAAGTGCCGCAGGAATAACAGGGTAGGGATGTGGCCCTTCGTGAGCGGGCCTTCGGGTTTTCCTTCTTGGGTCTCACTCCCAAGCGATAAGCACGCCTTCCAGGCTCTCCACGAGGCAGCTCCGGCTCCGCGGCGTGAGAAGCTGGAGCTGGGCCCAGCCAGAATGGTGAACGCTAGGCCCCACCGTTTTCGGTGCCTTCGCCCGCAGGCTCAGCCCAGCCTCCCCCAGCCCCGGCACACTGGTCTCACCAAGGGGCGAAGAACTCGACAAGCATGAGGCCCGCTGAGCCAGTGTCGGCGACGCGACTCTCGAAGTTGTCGTCGGTGAGTTCCAATACATCGGAGGCAGAGGCGAGGCGGGCCGCGGCAAAGAGCAGCGCCACGACCTGGAACGGCGCTAGGTAGTGGAGGCGCATGGCGGCCAGGTGAGGTGGGGGCGGCCAGGAGGGTCGGGGCTCAGAGGGGATTAGCGAAGTCGAGCCGGCGACCGCACACCCTCCGCCGGCGCTCGCAGTCTAGCCCAGGCGGACCTGCAGCCGGAGGTCCCAACCCCCCAGCCCGGCTCGGGCCGCAGTGTGGCACCGGCCGATTGGCTGCGCGGCGCTTGCGTCGAGCGGGCGGGACCAGCTGGTAACCGCTGAGTGGTCGGAGCGCGGGGCGGGGCCGGCGCGAAGAGCGGCGGGGCCGGCGGGGCCGGGCGGAGGACTGCCCGGAACAGGGCAGGGGGCAAGGGGGACCCCGAGTGAGGCGGGCTGGGACTGGGAACCCGGCTCCGGCGGGCGGGGGGCTAACCTCGACCTTTACTGGTTTGGGCGCAGCTGAGCTCAGGAGACGCCAGAGTTAAGTCAGAGCTGAGTGGGCGGAAGGTAGCCTGGGCGGAGGTGAGGCCCAGACCTGAGAATTACGGAGAATAGGAGCTGCTCCCGGAGTTGGATGGACACACTGAGGACGGAAAACATTTTCAAAATGTTACTCTTTTATTCAGACTGTTGTATAGTGACCATTTCCCCTTAACTTGATTTTTCTCTGTTGTCAGGTTTAAACCCTCACACTCTCCCACCTCATCTATCTCATGTTCGGGTGGGGCTCCTAATTCCTCTTTGTCCAGCTTTGGGGGGCTGCTGCTTTTTTAGTTAAAAATGCCGACACACACACACACACACACACACACACACACACACACACACGCCGTTACACATGTGAAGATGCTGACCACTTGGCTGATCATGCAATCTCTCTCATGACTCCTATTTGCTTTAAAAAAAAAAACAACCCCACACCCTCCCTTCAGTCTGGGTATAATGTGTCTTCCCAATTGTTCGTAATGTCTAAATATGGGAGCCCTGGTGGTTCGACGGTTCAGCACTCAGCGGCTAACTGAAGAGTTAGCATTTCATATCCAAACAGCGGCTCTGCAGGAGAAAGACCTAACATTGTGTCTGTCCTTCAAGACTAAACCAAACCAAAGTCCGGTTGCCATGAACGCCTACCTTAGTTAGCAGACGAACTCTAACCACTGTATTTCCATCTCTCTTCTTCTTAGGACAGCGGAGAAAACTGTGGGACAGTTCTCTGTTATATGGGATCACTGTCAGGAAATCTCATATTTGACACCTATTAAGGAAATCTCATAAATGACGCCTAACAAGATCTTTTAAGGGCAAAGGAGGAAGGAGGAAAAAGTTGTAGTCGTTGGTGCAACTCTCTTATTTTTGGTTTTGGGTGGAGTTTTTTTGTCTTGGGGCTGGGGTAGTGTGTGCATACGCAACTAAGACTTAAATGACACTTGATTCTCCATTTTCTCAACAGACATGGCAGCTTTTTATCCACCAGGGCATACGCAGTTGCCCCGAGCAGATGCCATTCGTTCACGTCTTGTTGATACCTTCTCTCTCATTGAGCATTTGCAAGGCTTGACCCAAGCTGTCCCACGGCACACTATCCGGGAGTTATTTGGTTAGCAGCCTGTTTCATCACAAAGCTAAATACTTGTATCTAAACAGTCTATAAAGTCTAGGAATCAGAAAGGTACAATTAAGGATGGGAAATTCAGGGAGAATGGTTTGGAAGTTATACTAAAGTTGGTAATGCAAGGTCTATTAATAATACTATTTTAACCCAATAGATAAAATTCCTGCCACTTCCTTTTAGGTATATACTATGGCTACTAGCCTTGGCTGACTTGGGGGGAAAAAATTCTACCAAAGCCATCAGAAAGTGTTGAACTTGTTGCCTTTATTCTCAAATCTAAGCAATATTGATCATAACAATACATTAACCTAAGAAGATTCTTGTCACACTCTGCTCTTTTGAGTTGACCCTCCCCTGGGTTTCTGAGGCTGTAAATTGTACAGAAGATTGCCCATCTGTCTTCCTCAGAACAAATGAAGATGGATTCAAACCACCTAGGAAGTCTATTAACTGATCAGTATTCCTGCTCCCAGAATCTCTGAATGCAGCAAATGGATGACATGATCTGCTGCTAACCAAAAAGTTGAAATCCTTCTAACGGCATCTCAAAAGAAAGGCTCATAATTAATTTTCCTTGTTGAAATTTTCCCCTCAAAATCACTTGTTGAAAATCATGTAGAATTAGAGAATATTTCTGCATATGTGTTTACATGTGCTGCAAATATATCTGTGACAATAGTAGAGCATAAAGGAGGCAAAGTTATGAAAGCATTTTAGGAATAACCAAACACCTTGAAAGAATGAGTCACTTGGCCTCAGGAGCATTTTGGGTGGGGGGCTCAGGACCATAGACTTGAGGACATCAGTTTTAATTGATACAACATAGTCCACAAAGAAAATCTACATCTGACTACAATCTTAGAACTTAACAAGCAGCCATCTAAAGTTCAACTATTATTTTCTCTCCTCTTCTGGAGCAAAGGAGAATGAAGAAAATCAAAGGTACATGGAAATAGTAAAAAAGACTAGTGGATACTCAAATTTCAGCTTCTACAATCCTGAGCTCCAAAGAACTAGGTGATGCCTGGCTACCACTACTAACTACTTTGACATGGATCACCTTAGAAAATTGTGAATAGCATGAGATAAAAATCTAGAACTCAATAAATTTTCAAAAACCAGGCTAATTGGTTAGATAGAGACTAAAGGAATACCTGAGTCTATGGGCTTCAGCTACTCTTCCACTCACTCAAGCTCATTATTCAGAGAAACAGTAGTCAGAGCTATAACATAATAACATGAGAGAAGTACTTCCTTTAGAACAATCAACTAGAGATTATAAAGGCTGCATTTGTTCAAGGACATATTTCAGAAGCCAGAAAGGGATGGGAAGATGGGAGGAATATAAATAGAAAAAATGAGAGACGTGGGATGAGTGATGTTACATGATGGGAATTGCAAACGGATTTGCTCTGTAAGCTATCACCCAAATCATAGTAAAAAACCCCAAACTCTGTGAAACACAGTTCTACTCTGACACATGTCAGGTTGCCATGAGCCAGCATTCACTAAAAGACATTTTTCTTTAATCCTGCCTTCAACCCTTCCTACTCTTTATAGTCCGCAAAGAAGTAGCTATATATTTACCTATTGTCCCTTTTGTAGATCCTTCCCGTCAGAAGAAACTTTTGCTGGGAGATCAAAATCAGCTAGTGCGCTTCTCCATAAAGCCTCATCATGTAGAACGGATTACACATGCCCGGAGACTGATGAGCAGACTTCATGTGCGCTGCAGCCAGAGGCCACCTCTTTCTTTGTGGGCTGGATGGGTCCTTGAACGTATCCTTACCCCATGGCTTTACTTGTCTCTCTTATCATCTGCCTAATTGACTGACTTTCTCTTTCCCAGACAATTTTATTCTCATTCTCATTGCTTCTATTAACTTTATTTCAACTGTATAAATCAGAGATGATTATATTCTGTATGTTTCCTTAAAATGAAACAGATCCTCTTTTCACAAACTTTATTATCTTCCTTATCTTTTTTAATACAATTGTATTGATGGTTGAAATAGGTAAGGACTGACATTGAAAGAGGCAGTGGGTGGGCGTGGATTTTTTTCCACAGTGGATCATTTTACATTTTAAAATGTCATTTGAATTGTGATAGGGACAACATGTTAAGTCCTTTGGGTAGAATTCATAAAACTGCTAAGACCTTGAAACATTTGAAGAGCTTTTGAGAGTATAATAGATGTAAGATAGTCTAGATATTTAAGTGTATAATATATAGCATTGGTATAGTTGATGATTTCATTTTACTTGGATCCATGATCAGCTTTCTTGATACTAGCAGTTAAGAAATCAAAAGATGGGTTGCATTGAGGAAAGATGTCAAGGACCTCTCTCCAAGCTGCTGAGGAGTGATATTATTTTAAAGACTGAGGGGTAACTGACGCAAGCCATGGCCTTTTCAATTACTTCCTCTACATCTGGAAGTGGGACAATGAATAAGGATGACAGAAGAATGATGCCTTTGTGTCTTAGTGTTGGAGAAGAGTACTGAATATCCCATGGACTGCCAAAAGAAGAAACAAATATGTCTTTGATAAAGGCCAACCAGCATCTTTGCTCCTTACAAACAAAGATGATGAAACTTTGTTTCACATTCTTTGGACAGGTTATTAGAAGTGGCCAGTCCTTGGAGAAGGACATAATGCTTAGACAGGAAAAGAAAGGAAGATCCTCAAGATGTATTGACACAATGTTTGTAGCAAAGGGCTTAAGTATATCAGGGATGGTAATGAAGGACATAATGCTTAGAAAAGAAAAGAAAGGAAGATCCTCAAGATGTATTGACACAATGTTTGTAGCAAAGGGCTTAAGTATATCAGGGATGGTAATGAAGGACATAATGCTTAGAAAAGAAAAGAAAGGAAGATCCTCAAGATGTATTGACACGATGTTTGTAGCAAAGGGTTTAAGTATATCAGGGATGCTAATGATGGCACATGAAAGGACAAGCAAGGTTCAGATACATTGTTCAGAGTTGTTATGAATAGAGTTGAATTAATGGCACCTAACAGCAACATACTAAATCCACAAGGAGATAGAGATGGGAAAACCAATCGTTTTTTTATTTATTTTGTCAGCTAATGTTTACTTGAATTAACCTTTTCATCTAATATATTTTAGCAAGTGTGTTTTGAATGATTACCAGGTTATTTGAGTAAAAAAGCTCACAAAATAATTGGAAGAAAGTTATTTTTTTGAGTCAGTTCTGACTCGTAGAAACTCTATGTATAGTAGAATGAAACTCCATCCTCAAAGTTTAAGCCCATTGTGAGGGGTCACTATGTCAGTTCATCTGACTGAAGGTATTCTGTATTTCCTTTTTTTCACTGACTATTCTACTATTTTAAAAGATTTTGTTTTTGTTGCTCTCTCTGAGAATAAATGTTGTTAAGTGCCTTCGAATCATAGGTGACTCATAGCGACCTATGAACAAAAGACCTGGACACTTCTATAACATTCATCGTTTCTCCATGTTCGTAGAGTTTCTGGAAGCAAGCCATTTCGGAAGTGGATATCACTCCTGCTTCCAAGCTTGTTTTAATCAGGAAGTTCCACCAAACACTGTCCACCATGGGTAACCATTAACACATTTCACAGTGTTTAGCATCGCAGCAACCATGAGTTACCTCTGTACAGCAAATGGACAGAGCAGTGCTATACCACTTAGAAAAATGTTTGACAAGAGACAATTAAAACCAGACCTAAGGGCTGCAGATTAAAATAATCTCACACCCATCAGTGAGTCAACATTGCACCCTAATCCTCACCAGAACCAGCAAACAATCCTCTGTAGAATCCGGCTCCTGCAGACAACTTCCAAACTGGATCCCAGCCCCCTCTGGGAATAAATAAACAATATAAATCAGTTCTATTTTCTAAATGTAGAATTAATTGACATTGATTACATTCTTTGTTTCAAATATTCTCACTCAGCTTTTCGAAACTGTTCATCTTTCATTGACATAAACATAAAAATCTTTGTAATTTCTATTGCCAATTTGATCCCATATGTTGTAGTTCTCGCTAGGTGTCGTCCAGTCAACTATAGCCTGTAGCAACCCTATGAACAACAGATCTGAACCCTGTCTTATCCAATGCCATCCTTATACTTCCTCCCATATTAGAGTTCATTGCAGCAGTCACCATTTCAAGGTCGTCCTCTCCTCTAAACATCAAGTTCCACTCCAAGGACTGGTCCTTCATTGCAACATGCCTAAAGTATGTCGGAGGAAGCTTCAAAATCCTTTCTATCAAAGAGCAGCCTGGTTATACCCTCTCTAGGACAAACCTGTTTGTTCTCCTAGCAGTCTGTGGTATATACAATACTCTTCTCCTGCACCACAACTCAAAGGCACCGATTCTTCTTCTGTCATCCTTAGTCATTGTCCAGCTTTCTGATGCATAACAAGTAATTTCTAAGACTATGGCCCAGATCAAGCCTAGATCAACCTTGGTTTCCAGACTGGAATCATTGCTCGTCAGTACTCTGGAGAAGTCCCTGACAGCAGACTTTCCCAATGCAATTAGTCTTTTGATTTCCTGGCTGCTGGTACCAAGAGTGTTAACTGTGGAGCTAAGCAAGCTGAAACTGTTAACAATCTCAATCTCTTCACCATCTAGCCTGATGCTGCTAATTAGCCCAGTAGTGAGAATCTTTGTTTTCTTAATGGTGAGCTTCAATTGATATTGAAGGCTGTAGTCCTTGACCTGCAGCAAATGCAACTGTCACTCAAATTTATGTACCAACAACTAGGGCCAAAAGGGAGGAAATAGATGACTACTACCAACTATTGCAATTGGAAATTGATCAAACATGAAACCAAGATACATTATAGTAATAAAGAGTGACTGGAATGCAAAAGTTATGAACAAGGAAGAAGGATCAGTAGTCGGAAAACATGGACTTGGTGAGAGAAATGAGGCTGGTGACAAAATGATAGAATTCTATACAATCAGTGATTTATTGCAAATACCTTTTAAAAGAAACAAATTGGTGACTATACACATGGACCTCACCTGACGGTATGCACAGGAATCGGATTGATGACATCTGTGGAAAGAATTGCTAAAGAAGCGCAATATGAGCTGTGAAAACTAGTCCAGGTGTTGACTGTGGATCAGATCAACAACTACTTGTATGCAAATTCAAATTGAAGCTAAAGAAAATCAATCTAATCGCAAGAACCAAAGTTTGACCTTGAGTCTGTCCTGAATTTAAAGACTATCTCAGAAACAGCTTTGAGGCCTTGAATACTAATGAGCGAAGACCAGATGAGCTGTGGGAGGATATCAAGAATATCGTCCATGAAGAATGCAAATGGTCATTACAAAGATGGAGGAAGAAGAAAAAACCAGAATGGATGTCAGAAGAGACTGTGAATATTACACTAGAGCACCAAGACGCCAAAGCAGAGGGAAGAAATCAAGATACAGAGAATATGGCCTGGATCAGGTACACCTAGTTTCCAGACTGACATCATTGATCTCCAGGACTTCTGAGAAGTCTCTGACAGTAAATATCCCCAGTGCAATTTGTCTTTTAATTTCCTGGCTGCCGGTACCAAGAATGTTGATTGTGGAGCCAAGCACACTAATGCTATTAACAATCTCAATCTCTTCACCATCTATCATGATGCTGCCAATTGGCACTGGTGAAAATATCTGTTTTCTTGATGTCAAGTTTCAATCCATATTGAAGGCTGCAGCAAGCACTTCAAGTCCTCAGTTTCAGCAGGCAGGGTTGTGTCTTCTGCATAATTTAGGTTGTTGATGAGTCTTCCTCCATTCCTGATGCAATATTCTTCAAAGTCCAGACTCTCAAATGGTTTGTTCCACAAATAGATTGAAAAGGTATGGAGATAAGGTACATCCTTGGCATACACTTTTTTCTTATTTTGAACCATGCAGTGTTTCCTTGCTCTGTTCTGATGACTGTCTCCTGGTCCAAGTATAGGTTTTGGTATAGGTTTTGCATGAGTACAGTCAAGTGCTCTAGGATGCCCATTCTTCTCAAGGTTAGCCAGAACTTGTTGTGATACACACAGTCAAATGCCTTTTCACAGTCAATGAAATAAAGATAGACATTTCTCTGGTATTCTTTGCTTTCAGCCAAGATCCATCTGACATTGGCAATAATGTCTCTAGTGCCATGGCCTCTTCTAAACCCAGCTTGTATTTCTGGTAGTTCTCTGTCAATGCACTTTTCCAGTCATTTCTGGATATTCACCAGGACTTTGTTTGCAGGTGATAGTAGTGATATTGTTGGATAATTTCCACACTCTGTTGAGTCACCCTTTTTTAGGAATGGTAATAAATATGGATCTCTTTCAGTCAGTTGGCCTGGTAGTTGTCCTTCAAATTTCATGGCACAACCTGGTGAGCAGCATCTGTTTGTTGAAATATGTCAATTGGTATTCCATCAATTCTTGGGGCCTTGTTTTTTGCCTATGCCTTCAGAGCAGCTTGAACCTCCTCCCTCACCACCACTGCCTCTTGATCGTATGTTGTTTCATTAAATTCTTCTGTGTCAGCCAGTTCTTTTTGGTACCATGATTCTAATGTACTCCTTCCATCATCTTTTAATATTTCCTGAGTAAGTCAATATTCTGCCCATAGCATCCTTAACTATTGCAACTCAAGGCTTAAATTTGTTTTTCAGTTGCTTCAGCTTAAATACCATGCTAGTTCGGTCATCTTCATTTTCTGACTCCAGTTCTTTTCATATTTTTTTATAATATTTTGCTTTGTCTTCCTGAGCTGCCCTTTGAAATGCTTTGGATTCTCTATGCTCCAGTGCAATATTCAGTCTCTTCTCACATCCATTTCTGTCTTGTCTTTCTCGTCTATCTTTGCAATGACCTTTTGCATTTTTCATGGGTGATATTCTTCCCCTCCCTTGTATATGTAGATTTTTTATTATTATTGTGAACCATAGAGTCAGAATTGGTCAGAGCTGACCCTCTAGAGGGTTTTCAGAGACAGGTAATCACATGGGAGGAAA